AAATCCCTGTCCATATATGTCGAGGTGAAACTGACGAAGGACAGACTTTCACCTACCATGCAAATTCTTCCAAATTGCTTTTGCTGACCAGGCAAATCTCTGGCAAAATTTCAGGCCGGTAAAAGCACATGAAACGGGCTATTTTTACGCAGGTTTCGCATTCGGTCTGAAAGCACCATTAGCCATATCAAGATGTGAAAAAAAGTCTAATTCCATTTCTGCCTAGATCTTTAAAAAAAGAAAAAAGAAAAAAATGAAGTTAAAAAGGTTTTAAGTACCCGAGTAAATGTTGGAGTTAAAATGTTTGTCAGTTATTTGAAGACAAGAATACAAAGTAGGAACTCATTGTCATGGTTGGTTTAGAAATCAAACCCACATGCAGAACACCACTTGGAGACTGATAAAAAGTTCAACAGAGTTTATTAAAGGTTTGCACAGAGATAACATGAACTGGATTCTGGAAACTGGTCCGGGCAGGATTCTCAGGCGTCTGCAGAGACGGATAGTTTGATTAGCCAGGTTAACAGATTAGTTGTTGAGTTTTCAGATGTTTCTGAAAATACCTTGAAGAGGTCCAGGCTTTCTTTTCTGAGAGAGGGAACCGGTTGGGTCCAGAGACTGTTGGTTCAGCAGAGTGCTCAGCAGCAGCAGCGTCTAGCTTCTGACTTTCTAGTGACAGACCTTGGTTTGAGAGATTAGCTCTTTCCTTAAGAGCAGCAGGTGGATTCCAGAGTGAGATCTTCAGGTTTGGCTCTCTAGGGCAGGCAGGCAGGTAACAGGTTAAGCTCATCCAGAGCTTCAGACGAGAGACAGGTGTCCTATGAGCGAGAAGACAGAGGCAGGTTAGAATTGGGTTTCTCTTAGAGACAAAGATTCTAGTAGTTCAGAGGCTCAGGTTCGCTAATTAAACTTGGTCAACACTGCGGCGTTGAAGGAAGGTCTGGCTGCTGATTATATAGGCAGGTCTCCTGATGGGCTGATGAACGTCAGCTGTGCTGGAGGGCTCCAGCCCAGGAGATCCACAGCGCACTCTGCTGGAGAAGGTGGAGAATCTCCAGATCCCAACACTCATGACAAGTCTGTTTTCAGCATCAGAATGCCATTGATAGAACGGATCCTTATTGAAGGTCTAAACAGGCAGTTTATTTTTCTTTGAACCATTTTTTTTCTGTCTCTCTCTCTCCTTCTTAGCTTGAGGAAAGTTGTCTTTTGTCCTTTAGGAAGAAATACACTTCATGTAGGTTGTGCTAGTTTTTTGGTAACTTCTCACCCTAAATCTGAGTCTAGTCTGAAGTCAATGTACTGCATGTGTGGATTGCATGGATTGTAACAGACATATGGTGAAAATGTAATGTGAGCAGCACCTTTATCAATATATTTACTGAGAAAAATAGTGGCATGTTCAATACTTTTACCTCATGATATAATTATAGATTATTTCACTAGCCTTCTGAATTTCTACATTTTGAAATCAAGATCACTAATAATTAACGAAAACCTTAGCATGGATTCAGTCATCCAAAAACAGCTTTTGATTCTAACTAGGGCTGGGCAATTAAATGCATTTGCAATATAATCCCAATTTAGCAAAACACAATTTTCAAATATTATTATTATTATTTCAATCCTAGTCTTGTTAAATATATGTAACAAGAGTAGGACACTAAATTTCTCCCTCCACCCCTTTGGGTGGTGGATAAACCCCTGAAGTGTTTTGCCACCACACAGAAAGGTTAAAAGAGTTGCAGCTAGCATGCAGATCCATGTATGCAACTAGAAGTAAACACTTTTTCACACTTTGATTAAAGTCAAGTCCTGTAACAATAGACTCTTGGCACGCAAGCTCTCAAAAGCCGAAAGCCTTGGGTGAAACATCTACAAGCCTGGGGTTAGTTCAAGGCAAACTTGATGGCTATTTCAATTTTGGTGAAAAATAATCTTAGTTTTTAGTTTTGGCAAAATCGTTTTGCCTAAATTCTAACACCATATAAAGCTCTTAAAAACATCAAATTTTAGGATTCCAGGCTGCACTTTGCATTCATTGGAAAATCATTATGCTAAACTGTTATGGTCCAGTCATGCAAAGCTGAATGTCTGTGAAAGGTCTGATTTGGTGTGTTTAATCTTTTATTTACAATAAACTCATTAAGTATCAGAGAAATTTTTATGAACTGTAAAGTGCATCATGAGAACATCTTGCCAGCTCAGCAGACAATTGACATATCAACCCACATACAGTCGCAACTTATTGCCTACAGAGCAAGCAAATTCATTAATTAATATGCAATAATAACTTAAACTGAATCTGTTTTTCAGTCAAATGTATGTATTTAATTAGAGTTCCACAAGGTTAAGTGGATGACAATAGAAGAATACCAATTATTTAAAACTGAAACAAAAACTACTAAATACTTAATACAATACGTGTGTTGTTATAGAATAGTAATAGTCTGACATTTATTTTTGCATTTCTTTTTTCATAAAGCTTTAAAGGTGGCCTTTAGTCGTAGTAATTCTGCACCATCTGGCTGATGTGGTTTTCATGCACCACTAAAACCAACAAACCATTGTCAGCACATGTTCTGTTCTGCCTTTAAAATGCAGGAGGTCCCTTTTATCTCCTTGTTAGCTGATTCACCGTGGAAAAGAGTCTGTTAAAAGAGAAGAAAAAAGTATTGAGTAGTGGCTTGTTGTCTTTAGGTCCTTTGATGTAGTAACAAATGCAGTTGCAATGACACGAGCGACAGCGATAACGTTTGTCATCAAAGACCTAGAAGCCTCGCTTTCAATCCTTCACCCATTTAAAACTCATTCATCATATGCTTTTTTTTAGCTTTCAATTCTTTTTTTTTGGTGGGTGCAACATCATTTCATTTAAGACAGATAAGTAAACAATTATAAAAATTTCAGAATTTTATATAAAATACTACCTTCTACCTCTTTTTTAGCGTTTCCCAGGTAGTCCTAGATCATACGAAAAGGGAAATAAATGTTTTACTTAAAAAAAAACGTAAGCCTTCTATTTCATCAACAGTTTTTATCTTAACTCTTGTTTTTGTTTTTACAAATGTGCATTGTGTTAAATTAACATGGTACGTTGGGCAAAACTCCAACTTCTGCATCAAAAAAACAGACTAGTTGATCTATGATGTCATATATTCATAATCAATCAAAATGTATATTCTTAGCTGTTTTCTTTTTAATTACCATGGGTAAGGAGGAGCTTCTGGTGGAAACTGGCCACTCTCTGTTTGTCAGTTGTGTTCTGTTTAATTCATTTGTTCAAGAGCTTCAAAGCAAATAAAAAGGACAGTGCAACTATGAATTGAGCAGTTATTAAAGTTTCTCAAAGTTTTTAAGGACAAAGTGGAGTGTGCTAAAGAACTGCTTCAAGTTGATCACCACATAGAGTTTGGATACCATTTAAGAATTCAGCAGAAATAAAGGAGCAGAAGCACTGTGCATAATAAGTATATTAGGTGGCGAAACCCAGGGCCTGCTAATGAGCTGACAACAACGACAAAGCCAACATGAAGTAAAACACATCATATATACCCAGAGCTTTCCCCAAGATTAAGTATACATGCTGTGCTTGCATAATGTGTTAATGTGCAGGATTTGTGCATCTGAATCAATTCTCATTCCCTTTTAATCACACATAATTGTGTATCTATTAATCATATGAATTACTTTTAAAACAAACAAATAACACAAACCGGGAAGGTTAATTATTTTTGTTTCCTTTGTGAATGTAGAAGCTGTAGCAGAAACTTTCCTTGTTCTTTAATGTCATCATATTCGAAATCAGGTTTTTCTATTTGTAAATCTACTAATAAGTATTACAGTATTTCATGTTGCTGTATGCTGAAAATGGAGCTTGAGTATCCTGTGTGGTAAAATGTTGTCTTTCTTTTTCCATATTATATGTTTTCTGGCCTAAACCATGTGGATGGGAACTCTTAGGTACTGAATTTTCATCCCCCCTTAGAATCTGTAAATAGGGGCTCTATCTCAAAATTATATACAGATTTGACTCCTCCCTTTTAAGTATTTCAGGGTTTGTTTTTTGTACTCACTATCATAGCATGAGAATAAAATCTTATAACCTGACTCCATCTGAGCTTTGCCTTCCCTCTGTACTCCATCTTTGCTGCTACTCCATGGCACTTCTATCATTCATTTGGCTGCAGAGGAATCCTGCTAAGCCTGCTTTAATGCAGAAATGTTTAGTAAAGTCAAACGAGCATTAGGGGCGTCGCCAGGAGTCAGTGGGATAGGAAAGGCAAGAAAGAACTGGGAATTCTCATTACATTTCCCACATCCTGCCCCAAGGTCCAACTTAGCTTGGTCTTATTTATCCTTTTTGCTACTCTGTATATGTGCCTTAAAATTGTCCTGCCAAGTGATTAGTCTTTTATGTGCTAATTACAACTACTGGCTTCTAACTTTGCTTATTTTACTAAAGCAGTAGTAGAGTAGCTGAAGGCTATGCATTAAAGATTTACAATAAGAGATGCAAAGCATTTCAGCGTAATAGTATTCTATGATAGACTTTATAATGTTAAAGTGGAAAAGATAAAATAAATATAAGGTGTTGGAGAGACATTTGTATTCCGCTTGCTTTTTTAATAATGTTTAGAGAAGTTACTGTGGCTGAGTTGCTTATAAAATGTACAAGAACATCTATTATTGAAGCTGTGTCTGTGGTAGAGGTCTTCTGGGGCACAGCACATTAACTCTCAGGAACAAGAGTGAGTGTTACGCTCTCCCAACAGCAGTGTTTTTCCAGCAGCAGGATTTGTAATTTTCAATAGTGCTATGAACATGTCTGAAGGTTCTTAATCTTTGTTGCCCTTGATGTATGACTGAAACAAAAGCCTTTATTGGTAATAGATATAGGAGATACATTAAAATATACTGTTGGCCAGGACCTCGCTTCCAAATGGTTTGCAATGTGGTGCTAAATTTGACATTGAGTTAATTAGATCATCTGTTTACAGGAAGTACTCCAGACAAGGCTACGCAGCAGGAGGATGCAGCCAGACCACGTCGCCATGAGACCACAGTACCTCTGATGCTGAAGGGCAAAGAGCGTAGACCTCTCAGCCAGCTCACCCCTGGGGTAAACACAATGCCATTTAGCCACATATGCTCTCTGGCAATAAGCTGGCTTGGACTGGGACTCAGCTGAGCCAAGTACAGATGCCTGGCTTTTTGTCTGACAGAACAACAGGGGAGGATTCCCTCTACTGTTGCTTGCTTCCACACTTGATTGGTTCTTTCAAATAGTCTCTTTATTTTTGCTTTGTTTAGTGCCCTTGATATGTTCCCTGTTGTGTTCTTTTCATTTCCCTTATGCCTATTCTTTTTCAATTGATGTGATGAATACGAATTTACCCTGAAGTCAATCCACCCTAGTTTTTGGCTAAATTAAAGGCCTTGAATAGTTTTGAAAGTTTGCTGTCTCCATAGTACACCTCCACATGCAAAAACATTTTATAATAGAACATTTTATACATTTGCTCTCATTAGAATCACAGACACTGATTTGTAGGTATTGTAACAGCATAATTTTTTAGGCCGAGTTGCAATTATCTGATGCTATATGAACTGTGCACCCGAGGAGATGATTCTCCTCTGTAAAAATTTACAGAGAATGAAACAACGGCCATTGAATATCATTTGTATAGGTGTGGACTCTGACTTGGCCATTGTAGCTCATGAATATACTGTGGTCTAAAACATTTCATTGCTGCTTTAGACATAGGTTTCAGGGTCCTGTCGCTCTAAAAGGTGAACCTCCACCATTTTCTAAAGATCTCTAACTCATTAAACTTGTTCTATCTTTCAATCACCTTTTAAATAGCTTCCCTGTTCTTATAGAAGAAAAGCCCCCCAGAGCATGATACTGCCATTGCTGTGTGAATCAATATGATTGGTGTTTTTATGCTAAAGTGTGGTGGTAGTTGTCTGTCACACATAAAGCTTTACTGTTCTGCACTGGGTGCTTTTTCAGGGCTTATAATAGGGTTGAGCATTTAATTGAGTTTACAATATAATCACAATTTAACAAAAGCAATTTTCAAATCGCAGAGGGGCTCCATTTTGGTCACATTACATTTAACAAGAGTGAGTAATTAAAGTTTCCCTCCAGCCCTATAGGTGGCAGTAATTTGCTTAAAAAGTATTGCAACCACACAGACGGAAGAAAGTTTTGCAATTAGCATGCAGATTTACGCATGCAAGTAGAATAAAGGACTCTTTGTCACAAAGGTTTTTAAAAAACGCTTTCAAGGTCATAAAAAAACTGAAACCTTGGAGTGAAATCGAAATATTAATTTAAAATATTTGCTTAATTGTTCAGCCCTAGCTTGTAGCAAACTTGAAATATGACCTCTTTTTGCTTCTTCTTTTCACTGTTCTGCAAAGAGCAATTTTCTAAATGCACACACAAAAAACATTTTGTTCTGTCGGCAGAATTGTATAATATCTTTTACCTATGCCAACTTACCTTAAAATTGTTAAATAGAGTGGCCCAGAGGCTCTACTCCATCAATTCAATTCAGTTTAAAATATAGTGCAAATTCACAACAGATGTAATCTCAAGGCACTTTACATCACTACTCCTTTAATAGATCATTGGCCAGCCTAGCCCTGATTATGCATGTATATATTTTAAGCCACTAATTGTATGTTAATGTTTGTTTTGAGTTATTTCAGTTTTTCTGCCTCTCTCACAAGCAACTTATTTCAACCTCTGATGTTATTCAGTATCGGAACAAAACTTAAGTTTAATTTAAATTTATGACAGAAACAATTGTTATCATAGAGTTTAAATAATTAATTTTGCTCCTTATTACTTTGAGTGCTCCCACAACATTACCCGATCTTTGCCTTAATTATCTACAGTGTAACACCAGGCTTACACTAAAATGGTACGGGCAAGAAAACCAGACTCAATAAAATCATTGAATGCACTCACATTAGTTATAGGTGCAGTGTGGGTGCAGTTACTAAGGCTGTGTGGTAGAACTGTTTGATTACACCAAAATTAAATATAACCTTCCCGAATTTCAGAAGACAGAAAAAATCTGGTGCAAGACAGGAGAGAGTCCATGTATATTTCAGCATATAATCAACCCACCAACTTATTCAACCTTCATGTTTCTGCAGCGTGAGCTATAGCTGAGCCAACATGATTGCAGCGTTCAGTGTGGATTAATTTTTGCAGCACACCTGCACTGTAGCCACACTGCAGCAGCACCATAGTCACTGTGAGGGCAGTGTAAGCAAGTAAGTGAGTTTTGCAAGAAACTTGATCCTTTTTCTTCCAATTTACAATTACGCCTTCTGTTGGACTATCAGCATATCAGGTCATTGCAGAGTTTGTTAAGACAGAATATGGGACATTTCTGTGGTACTATAATTAGTCTAATGCCAGTCCTGGCTCCTACCGCTTTAAAGAAAAAGTTTGAGGTTTCCAAACCTTCCTCTGAAGGGAAATGTGTAGGTGTAAGAAACTCCCTGAGCAGTAAACATTTTTCCTCGCAAAGGGAAGTCCTCCTCTGAGAGTGCCATTTGTTTACATAAAAATCACAAACATGTTAAATTGGTAAGCAGGGAATTAAAACTTTGAGGTTTATAGATTCAATTATGCTCACATTTTCCCATGCATTAGATGTGTTTTCCCACCGGCTACATAAGCTGACATAAGGTATTTCGGTTAAGAGGATACATTCGTTTTAAGACAGACTATCAACAAATTGACCCTCCTAAATTAAACTGACCACAAGGGCAATTGGTGATGGTCTTATTGGAGATAGCAGTAAACCCTCCTGGAGAACAGATTTATACTGTAAAGCTGCTTTGTGTGCCAGCAGGCTATCAGCAACTCATGAAGTATGGCAGAATCATTACTTGCTGTGTTTGCTTAATGGAGGACAAAAGACATGTAGCTACCTATTCAGCCATGTTTATACAAACAGAGAAACATTTTACATTTAGAAAGGAAAAATCTGGAAATTATTGGTTAGTGGACCCGCAAAACATTTGGCACATTTCATCTAAAATCTAAAATGATTAGTCCTTAGATCTCTTTTTGCCTTGTTTTGCACCTACCTGTCCATTCCTGTCACTCATTTGTATATCATCAAAGAATTGAATGCCACTCTGTTCTCTATCACTGAGAGCTCAACTCAGTCTTTGTGAGCTTCTGTTTGAGATTTAGTTATGTTACTTGGAAGTTTTCATTTAAAATGTGCTCAGTTCTCTTCCCTAAAAAGCGCCACAGATTTAGCTCAGATAATTACTGTAGCTCTGGAGTTGATTCCATTAGGGCACTGAAATAAACTTAATTTGTAGAAATAACAAGAAAATAAAAGAAAACTGTAATAGCTAAACCTTTACAACAGACAGTATTTGAGTTTAATGGAGACATCACAGACAGAAGGTTATGCCTCTTAAAATGCATCTACTGCATCTAAAAAAATTATTATAAAAATAAGAGTTAAAAGATATGAAAATTGTGGGCGTCCATAGGTCTGGTTCGTCTTAGGCTACAATCTACAGATAGCTTAATATATGTAGTGTTCTTTTTTGTTCTTTTTTTTTCTACTATGCAAGTTTAAATAATACTGGAAAGTGCAGTAACATGCTTTTCGGGAAGGACATAACTTTCTGTCCAAGCGATTAAAGTGTTTTGGTTTTCAATGTGTGTGTCAGCATGTAAACATATTCTTTTTTTTTTTTTAGCCTTATGACCATTTTATCTTTTAAAAGAAAATTAGGAAGGCTTATAAATCAGATAACATCGTCACAACTATGAAGAACCAGGAGGTTAACATTTTGTTGTCTGGCTGTTTTGCTGCAGGAGAGACTGGTGCACTTTGTAGTAGGAAGTCGGTGGCATCAAAAGGACAGAAGTAAAAAATGTAACTGTATCAGAAACACCAGGAAGTTTTGTTTGGGTAAAAATGGGGCTTTGCAGTGAACCTAAACACAAAAATGTACTACTTTAATAGTGTCTTAAGGAAGCTGAATCAATACTGAGGAACGCCATAACAAGTCATGTGTGATTGATGTGCTTTAAAAAGCTGACTTGGTTAAAGCAGTTCTATATAAAAGATTAGGACAAAAGTTTGGTAAAATATTGTGAGTAGTGAGTAGAAACCTTTCAAACTTTTAAGTCAGGTTTAAAAGTAAAAAGGCATTGTCAATAGACCCCTGGTCTATCTTGGTTGGACAGTCTGAGATACATTCGAGGGAATCACTAGAATCTGGTATATTTTTTCTTTTAGTGTAACAAATTTCATAAATTAATTTCACACACAGTTTTTTTTCTTTTAATAATTATTAATTACTGCTTAAATTAAATCTTAACATTTAAGATTAAAATATTGCATTAGATCCATAAAGAAAAGACATAATACTGAAATGTGAGCCTAATACAATGTATAATTAACACACCCTGACGAAAGATACTTTTAATTTGACAACAGTCTTCTCATAATGCACATTCCAATATATGTAATGTAACTGTATATCTGAACCTCATCATTAAGGAAAAACTGTCATGTTTGTCTCAGCCATATGGCCAAGGTGAGCATACAGCAGACTCCCTGCTGGAACAGTGGAGGACATACGCCGTATGCACTGAGCACAGTCTTTTAATGGTGTGCAGACCGCACCTTCAGCATGTGTGCTGGCTTATAAATAGTACTGCCGCTCTGTTGCTTTATGATCCATGCCCTTGACGTGAATAAGGTCAATGGCTGGGAATACAAGTAAGACGCTTTTTTGTTTGGGTTTAAACTAGAGTATTGATCCATTTTTGATGGACCTATTATTTTTCGTTAAAAATACTCTTCACTGATGCTCAACATCTATTATTATTGAGACAGAAAAAAAAATAAATATGAGTCTCTGGATGTTCAAAGCTAAAACAAACATACTCTGAAAGGCTTTCAGCCATAAATTCCTCTCTAACCTTAACAACTAAATGTTCTTTTTAAAACTCAGCTATTTTTTTCTATTGTCATTTTGTGTCTGTCATATTAGAAAAGGTTTTTAGCTGAGTTGATCTAATATGTGCCATTCGTGGTGTGAGGAAGTGAAGGATGTGGAAGCTTTCTTCCTCTTCCTCCTCTTCTATTGTGCCCTGTCACATCCTTTCTTGTGTACAGCCATTTTTTTTAAAGCTTCACCCAAATCCAGGTCAGGGCACCACCTCATCAACCTCGGTATTGTTTGTATTACAGACTTATCCTGCGTCACTCCAGGTGGCGGTGTTTGCAGAGGGTGAAGAGCTGATCCTGTTACTGGAAAAGAATGAGTGAGTTTTCCTGTGATTCCTTTTATTAATGTCAGTTTTTCTTTTCTTTATACTGCTAATGACTGATGTGTGCACAAAGCAGGATGATAGACATCTGCTAAAAAAAATTGACTCTAGTTAGGTAGAATGAAGAGTTTCTGTATGTGGGTTTGGGCTCTGATATCATGCATTAAAGAAAGGAGAAATAATATGTCCCTGAGTGATTGAACTCTTTTCATGGTCCATTCTCTCTGAAGGGCTAAGAGATGAAAGCTGGTGGAAAAAAAAGAATGAAGTAACCTCAGACAACATATTTGCTGAATATTTCATTACTTTTCTCCATTCTGTATTATGGAAAATAACATAGTAAACTCTGGAATGATGGAAACGTGGAGATTTCTTAGTATTTCATTAAAAAAGCGTACTTTTCTGCATAAAAAAAAAATAAATAAATAAGAAACACTAATATTACAGAACATGAAAAGTAAAATCTTTCAGTGTTTTTTATCCGGAGGAAGATCAGAAATTATATTTTCCTCCAAAGCTCTGCCATGCACATTGATTCTTATTAATGAATTTAGTTTGAAACTCAAAACTCCCTAACTACAGACAGGGTTGGCAATGGCATGCAAAGTTAAAAGTTTGACAAATATTGAGAAATAATGCATCATTTAAAAAGATTAACTACATTTAACAGTCTTCCTTCATCTCATTTCTCCTTCCTCACACCCTGTCCAAAAAGAAAGAAAACATTTATCCTTGATAAAACTTCCTCCGTTTATTCTGCCTGTCACCTGAAGTTACTGCAGGATCAGCTGTGAGTCATCCGTCACCGGCCGTCACCGGCCGGAGAGTGTCCTCTGATACCGCTTCACTGGTTCAGCCAGCACAGAACAGGTGGTCTCTGACCTCTGTGAGTCTGTTGTGACGAGGGCGCATCCGTTCAGTCGGGAGCAGGAGGGGAAAAAAAGGTGCCTGACAGGAAACATTCAGAGAAGCAGCTTTAATACTAATATTTTACTTTTGACAACTCGGGTCTATTCCAAGAATCTTATTCTGTATAATGTAATGCATAAAGGTGTGGAAATAAGTTGAGAAATAATAATTTCCCTAATTTAATACTTAACCTTAAAGTGAATGTGACAAATTACCCACAGAATTAAGATGTGTATTGATCAGCACAGCATGACATGATAGATTGGGGTTATTAAAACAAAAGCTAAGAATAAAATAACACTTTATGGAAAATTAATTTTTTATTTTATTAATTTTAGAGAAATAGATTTCACAGAATAGTCATTTGTTTTAAAGAAAATGAGTATTAGTATAATATGGTATAATACTTCATTCTTGACAAGCCTATATATGCTTTTTAGGGAGAATGCTTTTAGTTGGTAAAGGTTAAAATTAAAGAAAAAAAAAATTCTTTGTCACTATCAGTCATTATTTAGTTTGAGTTAGGTTTTTTGTTGTTTTTTTTAATTGTTATTTTAAACTATTAGCAGTCAAAGTGGTCAATATTAGCTTTAATCTTTGGATTATAAAATAGGAGTCTGAAACAGGTATGCCATGTTCTTTTATATTCTGGAATTTTGTTACACCCCTAATAACCATTTTTAGAATATATCTAAATGGAGATATATACTGTAGTAGTCGTCTTTTTTTGTGCTGAGTTGTTGATTTGCCCCCTAAATGAAGATGGACATTTTGGATAAGGAACTAAATTCACAGTTGCAGGTTTATTATCTGTATCTGTATATGAATGCATCAGTATTGAGATTTTTGCTGGGTGAATGAGACTCTAATCTAGAAAAAATAAGTGTTCGGTATAACTTTAAAAAAAAAACACACTCAAGAAGCTTATTTAATTTAACAGTTACTGCCTCTGGCAAGCTTGTATAGTTTACTGCAGAGTTCATTAGTTTCAAGCCAGGTTAAAGTATTCTCTTTGAGGCTTGTAATATTTATTTCATTGGTTGCTTCAGGGTCTTTTTTTTTTTTGGTATAGTTTGAATGTGGATCAATTAACAGTACATTTAATCTGTATCACAGGTTAATGCACCTTTAATGGTTGTTTTCTTATATTGTTTTGTACCGGATTTCATGATTAAACTAGTACATTTCATTCCCCCTCTTTTGCAAGGTAAAACCACAACAACCAAACCAGCTTTCAAAGAAGCTGCCCTGCAGAGCTTGTGAATATTTAAGCAAGAAATATCTGTGTGGAAATAATGTTAGCAGTTTTGTCCTTTTTTGTAAATTCAAATTTAGATTTATATGGGAGTAACTTAAAACAGCCCAACCCGCCATTACTTATTATCCTCTTTGCTGTTCCGATAATTAAATTTGGTGGCTATACCTAGGGAACATTTTTTCTTACTTTCATGAGGCCGGTTGAAATGGCGATGTCAGCTTTAATATTTTAGATCTTGACATATTGTACAGTACACACAAAGCAGGAAAGGTATTTAAAAATTGTGCCAGCAGCTACATCTCTGAAGTACAGCATTGATCAATGGCAAAGACCTCAAGCTTCAAATGATTAATCGTGGTGGTATGAGACATTTCCCATTAGTCTTGATTAGATAGTTCAGTAGCAGTTTGGAAAACCAAGGAGTTCATGTGTGTGTTTCAAAAGAAAAGTAAGACAGAAAATTGGAAGGATGTACAGCTCGGTCTACTTTTTGAGGTATACTTTGTTAAATGATTTGGAAGTCTGGTAATATTCGAAATAGTTTGATAGAAATCCACAGAGAGCGAGAAACAACAGATGTTTATTGCCACCACCCTGAAACCCAGCAGGCGGCAGCTGCAAATCACACTCTCATGTTGCCTGTCTCTAAGAAATATAATTAGTTATGAAACTGGAGCAATGTTGACATTTTTTAAAGCAGTCTGTGACAGACGAGGCAGCAAGGATGAAGAGTCTGAACGTTTACTGGAATTGACAGATATTAATATATAAAAGTCACTGATCAGACCTTTTTCATCAGCAAAAGTTTTTTTTTTGACATGTTAAAAGTGGTTTAACAATGGGCTGTGTTGTGATCAGTCAGTTAAATCCTCATTGATTGGTCTTAGTGCAGTGCGACAGCAACAAAAGTTGAACAATTTTCAACTTTCTTGAGTGGTATCCTCAGCTGGCATGTAAATCTCAGCCTGAATTAGTCCAAAACTTTGCATGCACGAATTTCGATGGTCGCTTACCTTAAGTTGGGCAGATTGTTTGAGGAATAAAATGGAGAATGAGCAACGTGTTGAGTCTATAACACTTCACAAAAGGGTATTAGTCTTTATCAATATATGCCATTGCAAGAGTTTTGTTTGTGAGGGTACATAATAGACATAAAGCTTTTTTTTTTTTAAGAATTCAATCTGACTAAGAATTATAGTAAAAAAATATGTTTTCTTACTAGTTAGGTACATTTTAAAGTAAATTATATTTGCAAAATTTAATTTTAAAATGAGGACAGTTCTGAATTAAAACCTCAACTCCACATGAAGATAAAAAAACAACAAGTATTAGTAAGTTTGCAAATACATTTATACATTAAAAATGGAGCTCTATATACAAGTTGGTTTTTGGGGGGAAGTTTGAAGCACTGTTGCCTTACAGCAAGAAGGTCCTGGCCCTGGGGTCTTACTGCATGGAGTTTCTAATGTTCCATCTGTGCATGCATGACTCTCCCACCCTCTCTCCCACAGTCCAAAAAGCATGACTGTAAGATTGCTTGGCATCTTTGAAATTACCCATAGATATGTGTGCATGGTTTTATGCCTCTGTGTTGGCGACCTGTCCAGAGTGTACACACCTTTCACCCATAGACTGTGTGAGATAGCAGAAGTTAAAATGGCAGAAGATGGATGGGTGGACATACAGTATCAGTTCACTGATCAGAGGCTTTGTGGCTGACTGCATACAGCTCTAACCTGTTTTCCAATTCTAGCTGATTCCAGTTTCCATTCAACCAATTTTTTGATGCAACTCTGCAGATTATACGAACATTTTGTTTTGAAAAGAACTCTATTAGCTTACTGTTAAAATGTCTACTGTATATATGAAAAAGTCATAAGGCACTTCTGCTTTTGAGATGTCTTTGTGATTTAATATGTTGCTTCTATCCTAAGGCTCTTATTTTTAAGTTTCTATTGAAAAAGCATTGACCAAAATGCAATGATATCACCCAGCCTCCCAATCTGTGCATCCTGCTTGAATAAAACATTTTTTTGTGACACATTAACTCAGAAGTCACGGGTCGAGTATTAATTTCATTTTCTATCCTTTTTTGCTGTTGGAATAACATTTTCATTAACATAGGATTAGCATACATAGCAATATCAAATCTTAAGTGTTATTGTTTTTACAATACCACAAAACAGAGATTTGGGGATATTTGTTTTAGCAAAGACATTTCAGTTGCTTTCCTCATTTCCTGTAGCTTCATTCAATGTATTTTATCTTTTAACAGTGATCCTTATCCAGATATAGTTCTTTTGAAATACATTTTTGAGCTTGGTAAAACAGCTTTAGAGTTATCATGTATCTTAATTGTGTCAACTGATCTAATAAATGAAATTAAACTTGGCAAATGTTTGCAAACATTATGTCCTAATTAACTGTTTAGAATTTTTTTTTTATTTTTTATTTAAGTGTGTCAGAAATCATGAGAAAATGACAATTGCACTGTCATGTGATAGGTACAGGACGGCATACAGTTTGTGATACAAAAATTACATTTTCATTCTATATGTATGCCCTATTCCAAAAAAGTAAAAAAAAAAAAAAACAATCATCTGGCCAAATTTGAAGGAATTTTTTTCAATTCAAAATCAGAAATAACGTCTAATTCAAGGCTTTATAGAGTGGACCAAAGCCTTGACTTCAAAACGCTATTTCTGACATTTTGAATTGAAAAAGCTTCCTGAATGGGAAGCAAAACGTCTTCAAACTTGGAAACAAAGTCCAGTGGGGATTTGTATGTTATCTTTTGTAACTTTACCTAATATTTTAAGGATTTTCG